GATGCCGATGGTGGTTCACCGTGCCGTCAGAAGAGGATTTGGTTCAAAGTGCAGTGGTGCCTCGACCTGCATCAGACCAAGACGGCGTTGACCAAGCACAGCGTCGAGGCGGAGAGCGGACTCGTGCGCGCTCAACGTCAGTTCGGGGGGCTGGAGCACAAGGCGTTCGACCCAGAGTCTGTGAGCCCCGCGGACTGCGCTGCGGGGCTGCCGACCTTCCTCTACAAGTTCGCGGTGCGTTCGGAGATGCTCAGTTACGCGAGTGCTGTCGCCATTCCATGAGGGTAAATTGTTCGCGCCGATCTGAACGTTGTTCACAAACGAGACATGGACTTCGATCGCGCTGCCAGGTGCGCGGCGAGTCAGGAGCTTGGCGAAGAAGCTGGACTGCGCATCCCCGTGGACGACGTGGTAGAGATCCCAAGCGACAAGCCCAAGGTCCCACCTCGCAAGAACTTTGGGTACGCCTACTTGGTACCACCCGAGGTGCAGGGGCCGCATGGGTATATCAGAGTGTTCAGAGTTTTGGATTTCCTGCCGGTGATCACTACTGCGCCTGGGTCACCGTGGACGACCTCGTAGCTCTACCAGACCTGCTACCAGAATGCCAACAGCCACTGGACTACATCATGACGGTGGAGAAGGAGAGGATTCTGCAGATGAAGCAAAGCATGGTGATACAGGCGGAGGTGACGAAGGACGAACCGTCCGAACTCGAGAGGAAGGGGCGCTTTCCCACCGACGGTGTGATCTACGACCTGGTACTAAAGAGCCGTGCTGAGCCGCTCGCTCAGATTTCGAGTTTCAGCATGACCTTCAACGCCCCCACGTCGGAGATGATGGCCGTGCACCATCAGTGCCCGAGGCAGCCTATTTCCAGTGTTTGGCTAAAGTTGCCGTCGCAAATGCCACTCGGCATCGCTCGGAGACTGGCCGAGTCGTGCAATGCATTCGAGTACGCGCGGGACTACCTGGAGACCCGAGACGAGACTGGGGGCTGCGACGCCCTCCACGCATGATTCCAGGTTTTGAACGGACGCCGAGATCAATGGTCCCGATCTTCGCCCGGTGTCAGAGTTCGTCGTGACGCCATTCAGAGATTTGCCTCGCTGGGTATCTGCGCGCTAGCCATCATCCCCAGCATGAGCTACAGCGACCTTCCTAATATCGATAGAAACCTATAGCACCGCCTTCGGGAGGAGCAGCAGATGATGGTCGACAGTTGGGGGGGGCTGGTGAAAGAAGGTGATGGCCATCGAGGATGTCGTGGGCCGGGTCGGGATCATCGGCGCGACATGCGGAGGAGAAGAAATGGCACGCAGACTGGAGAACCTCAGCGATTCGAAAGGCGCAGTGGGCATGCTCAAAGGCTTAGTCGAGAATCCTCCACCAATGGGCGGGTCCGTCTCTGCGGCCATGAAGGCTGTGGCGACTATTGATCGCTGCGCCGCTGCTCCAGGATTAGACAGGCCTCCAGCAGAGCTGGGCGAGGTATTCCTTGGACCTGAGGGGAAGTGCATCAGTGCCCACTGGAGGAAGGCCTACGAGCTGTCCAGGAATAACAAGAGGGTCTCCAACAGCATGACGAGCGACCACTGGAATACGGGTCGCAAGGCAGAAGTGACGAGAGACCACTTACCGGGCATTCTCCTTCATCTTGAGTGATTTGGTCGCGTCGGCTCTGGAAGCTCAATTTGGGGTCGATGTGCCAGCTTTACTCGTGAACATAGCGGGGCTTGTCGACGGGGCCCATGTCCAGGGGCCAATCGCATATCCAACCAGAAAGTGGTAGATGATGGACTTGACGCCGGCATGCGTTATGGAGATGCAGCGTGGCGGGGGGCTCAACCAGAAGGAGGCCCATATCGAGACTGCCTACCACGGCGCCAACATGGCAGCCGTGGCTTATCTATTTGGAGCAAGAAGGGCTTGTCTCAGCTGAAGTCAGGACCTTCGAGCTGTCAGAACGTCGGTGGCATCTTCTGCGAAAGGACGTGTCCCCAGACCTCTTGCGCTCACTGCGTGGCGCATGCGTCGTCTGACGTCAGCCCAGAGATGAGCGTGTGCCCTTGCATCTTCGAGCTGCAGGTGGATCGCCGCCGTCGCGCAGGCCGTCCCAAGCAGCGTGTCCACGAGCAGCGGTGACAGACGGAAGGCAGCGTCTACGTCGAGGCGCTCTGGATCCACGCTACGACGATGAGGGGGATCTGGGACAAGGTGCAGGCGAAGGAGCAAGTCTTTGGATGGCACAGGGTCTGGACTCGCACGGTCAGGATGCACTTCGCGGCAAAGGCCGCCCCGACGGCGTTTCCGCGTGTGCGCGCCTACCCAGACGAAGCGATCGAGGATTCTGGCTCTCCGATTTTCGAGGCCAAGCTGGTTCCCAAGGACGAGGTGGGTTCCGCAGTGGACCGAGGAGCTCAGCGCGGCAGATCGGTTCGCGGAGCGCACTGGCAAAACATACGACCATCGTGGAACCGAGCCACATATATTCATGGGTCAGATGGGGCAGGCTACGGACGCAGCGAAGTCGGATGAACTCATTGTCATCATGGGCCTCGAGTCAGACAATCCCTTCAAGGATCTTTCCAGAGATGCTCTCGAGTCCTACGTTATCGTGAAGGTGTGCCAGCTGCGCGTCGGTGAGGCTCCAGTAGTACGTGGAATGGCTGCGGCGTCTACTGAGAAAGGAGTTTTATCTTCTGAGGCGAGGCGGCGTTTCGGCTGCAAGAGTGGTAGGAGCTGTGCTTGCTGAGCCCCTGTCAGCCTCTCCTCCTCCTGCGCCTCTCTCTGAATTCCCTTGTGCGCCGCCATATCGGCTCGCAAGGGCCCTTGAGCTATCATGGCGCGCCGGTGACGGACGTGCCCACGCCTCCGTAAAAAGGAAATGGAGCATGCTCTCTTCTAGCACGGGCCCCCTATTTATACCTCGTGTCTCTCTGTGTCCATGCCCCCACGCCCGCGCAATCCACAACAGCGTTCTCGCCACAGCGCGGGCCTGAATTTTGGATCGGAGTCCTTCGTCAGTTTCGCCCCCGTTTCTTTCCTCCGCCTTCCCCTGACTCTTCCGGTCCTCCCGCTCATCTTCCTGCCCCTGCTGTTGCGGCTCTTCCTCCTCTATGTTTTGCCGTTCGGGGCCTGCGACATATTCCTCCTCCGCTCCTCTCTCTCGTATTCTCATGCTCCTGCGCATCCGCCACCCCCTCCTCCCCCACTTCTTCCGATGTACACAGCTCACCTTTCTCTGGTTGCGCATCGCGCTATGGAGTCACCTGGGTGGTTCCAGGTTCGCTGTCACACCCGTCAGCGGATATATCAAATGCACACAGGAGGACGGGATGATCGGAATGGATCGGATGTCATATGCAGCGCGAGCGCGCCTAGCTTTAGTCCTCGCGCGCTCTCTTCATACGCGCTCGCTGTAGCTCTCGGTTTTCTCAGCCCGATTATGTTGTTCTGTCCGCCCGACCTTTTCCAGCAATTTTGATTCCCGCTTTTCATTGATTAGGATTGCGCCATTCCGATGACTTCAGAAAAGGCATGAAGTCCATGGGTGGGGCCTTTTGAGGCCTCTTGGGGATCCTTTGGGGACCTCTTTGTGGCCTCTTGGGGGCCTCTCCTGGCCTCTTGGGAGCTTTTTGGGCGCGTGCTGGCGGTCTCTGGGGTCCTCTTGGGGTGGGGGGCTCGGAATGTCAGTTCGAGTTGCCTCTGTCAGGCTCCTCATGGGACCCTGTTGGGGCTCTCTTGGGCCATCTTGGGCGCCTTTCGAGCCGTCTTGGGACCATCTTCGGCCATCTTGGGACCCTCATTGGGGCTTCTTGGGTCGTCTTGGAGAGATTGGGGACATCTTGAACCGTGTTGGATGTTGTTTAGACCCCAAGTGCGAATTTGCTCAAACACCTACGTTTTCCCAGCGGATTTGACGATTCTCGCCTCTTCGGGCCCTTTCGGCGGTCGCCTTGGAGCCCTCTTGGGGTGTCTTCGAGGCCTCTTCAGTAGTCTTGAGGCCATCGTGGTCGTTTTCGAGGAGTCCTCGACGTGCTGGAGCCCAGCTTGAGCGAGCTTAGATGGCATCCTGGGCATCCTGGAGGCCACGGGCTCGAGAGTTCAAGGCTTCGGAGGCCCCGGGAATGCGTTTAGGAGCTCGAGGCCCCATCCCCCTGCCCCCCTCAGCCCCCCCCCCCCCTCGAATGGGATTTCAGACCCCAGGGGCGGGGGAAAGGAGGAGGGGGAGCCAATCATCTTCACGTATTTGCACCCTAGGCAAGCGGTTGTCGACGGCTTAGCTCCCCTCGAGAGATGCAGCTCCACGAGGCTCCAGCAGGGTTGAGCCAACCTTATGTCTTTCGGCTTTTTCCTCACCTCTCACCGTCGTCGTTTTTCCCCTCCTCTCCTCCTCCCCTCGGCTTGACAGTTTTTCTGCATCGGCCGCCCCTGCCGCTCGTTTCGAACACGAGTCACTGAGCGACGGCTGCCGCCATCAGCTGCCCAATCTTTCAACCAATCCCTCGAGACATTGCCAGCAATGCAATTCCTTTCCCCCCCTCTCTATCTCCTTCCCTCTTCAAGCGTGTTCGCGGTTCGGTCGGTTCGGTTGCGTAGCACTCAGTTGCGTTCGTTTGGTTCGGTTCGGTCGGTTATCGTGTCTTTACGGCTTCGCTTCGCCCTTTTTGGCTGCATGTGGCCTGTCGATTTCAGTCGATTTCGGTTTAGCTGTTGACTCGATCGGTTTTTGATTTCGCTGTCGCCGTGAACGGCCGTGCGCTCTCGGGCTCTTGGGATGCTTCTCAGGGGCATAGTGGAGGGCTCTTTGTGGCATCTGGGTGGCCTTGGGGAGTTTCTTGGGGGCCTCCCGGGGGCCTCTTGAGGGCCTCTTGGGAGCCTCTTGGGGGCCTCTTGGAGGCCTCGTGGCGCCCCTTCTCTCTGCCTCCCCCCCTTCCCCCTCCTTCCCTCCCTCTCCTTCCCTGTCGCCTGCCTTGGTGTGCCCGAGCGCCCGCGAGGACCATGCCCGCCAGGCCATGGAGCGGGACGCCTCCTGCGCGCGCGCCTGGGAGCTGCTGGCGGCCGCCCTGCGGCAGGAGGAGCGGTGCCCTCCCAGCGGCTGCTCCCGGGGCCTCCTCGCTGCTGCTCTTGTCTGTCGGGGGCCCCCAAACGGGGTGGTGACCACACCGTGTGGTGAGTCGGTGGGGTTTCGGGGTCACCACGCGGTTTTGGGACTTGGGTCGTTCTCCGAGGATGTCTCGGGCGACTGAAGCCTCCAGGGTCCCAAAACCGTGTGGTGACGGACCGTGCGGTGAGGTCTCTTGGGGTTCCGAGGTCACCGCACGGTCTGTCACCGCACGGTCTTGGGATCCCCAAGTCTGGGCCCCCCAGATAGGGTCCGAGCAGATGGGGTCGGCGGAATGCGCCGCATCGCCGAGGCATCGGCGATGCGGCTCGATATTGAGTCTTGTTTTCTCCACGTTGGCGTCGCCGATGCATTGGCGATGCGGCGCGGTCCTCCGACCCCATCCGCTCCGATCCCATCTAGGAGGCCTCCAAGATGTCGGCGGCGAGCCCAGGGGGGAAGTGAGAGGTGGCGGGCCACCTCAGAGGGCTCGGAATTCTTCAGGCCCTCGGATAAGTTTTCTACGCCCTCCCCGAGGACTCAGAGCACTGCTCAGAAGGCCCTCGGGTGTCTGCAGGAGGAGGAGGAGGAGGAGGAGGAGGAGGAGGAGGAGGAGGAGGAGGGTGTCTGAGAAGCCTCGTCGCCTTCGCAGAAGGCCTTCTCCCTCTCACTTTCCGCCCGGGCGCGCCGCCGCTCATCCCCTTTTGTTCTCAAGTGCCCAGGTATCCGACAGCATGTTGTCGTCGTACGTTTTTAATCCAGGCGTGTGTCGTCGTTTTTATTTGTTGTTGTTGTTGTTGGTGGTGGTGGTGGTGTTGTTGTTGCTGTTGTTGTTGTTGTTGTTGTTGTTGTTGTTGTTGTTGTTGTTGTTGTTGTTGTTGTTGAACATTATTTATTCTAAAGAGTAATTATTGTTGGGCCCCCTGGTGCGCGCCCCCCCTGCGCCGCCTAGGCCGCAGCTACATTTTCATCATTTTCGTGAGGAAGCCTCAGAAAAGAGGGTGTGTACAGGATCCGGTTGTTTTGTTGTAATCCGCTTTCCCTTGCAAAAAACAATAGAAAATGACATTTCTTGTTCTAATATAATCAAATTTCAAGAATCCCTTGCAAAAAATAAGGTAAAGTGGACATTCGCGCGCGCAAGACGAAATCCTTCCAAAACCTTAGTGTTCGCAGCGATTTTAACATAAAAACATCAAAAAACCAATGGTTTTTCAACAAAAAAATGTCAAAATCTCATCCCGCGCGCTCTTGCGGATTCGTAGGAAACCCAACACTTTTTAAACATTTCTGTCAAACGGGCTTTTGCGAGCAACTTTTTCGAACTTCTGCGACAACGGTTGCGCACCTGCCAGGGCCATCATCCCTGTCAAATAACACCATGCGGGACACATTCGTTTTTTCTTTGCGCGGGCACGCCGAAATGCTGGTGTGGTGCAGAAACGGAAAAACGTCGGAAAACGGTACACGTGTATTGTTGGAACAGGGGTATAAGTCGTATACTAAGCTAGCTTCTACAAAATGTTACCACAACAAGTCATTGTAACCATGCGCCAGTGTAGTAGCCAAGGTCGTCCGCAGGCCACGAAGTGAAGTGTCCGAACGTCATAGGGCGGGAAGCTGGGTGTGGGTGGTGGCGAAGAGTCGTTTGGAAACTTGGTAGAGCTTGAATCGGCCCCCCCACAAAGTGGGGGTATTGCCCGCCTCCTATGAACACCCTGGCACTGGTGAGAACGGAGTGTCCCCAGTCTTAAATGATTGTTGTTGTTGTTGTTGTTGTTGTTGGTGTTGTTGTTGTGGTTGTTGTTGTTTTTTGTTGTCGTTTATGTTTTTTTTTGGGGGGGGGGGGTTTTGCCTCCCTCCCCCGCGATGCTGTTACGCCCCGCCGCCCGCAGGCGCCTGGGACGCTTCGCCCGCTGCCTCCAGCCCCACCTGCCTCCTCCCGGCCCCCCGGCCACCTGGCCTCGGGCGGTCACGCCGCAGGATCCCTTTCACTGCCAGCCATCTGGCCGCTGCTCCCGCCCCCGCACGCCTCAGTGCTGTGCCTTCTCCTCGGCGCGCCGCGGTACGTCGGTCGCGGTGTCCCACTGTGCCCCCCGCCAGCCCCAGCCGCTGGCTGCCGCTCCCCGCCACCCTTGCCACCGTGTTTCGCCACGGCCGCCCACCGCGCTCTGGCCCTGCGCGCTTGGCTGCTGCTGCCCCCCCGGCTGCTCATCGTCGAAGTTTTCGACGTCTGAGAATCCCTTCTTCCTCTCGGCCGTCCCCCTCCCCCCCCCTTTTTGCTCGCCGGCCAGTTCGCTAGTTAGTGTCCCCATCTAGCTTCTCGCTTGAGCGGAGTTCGCCGGCTCGCCGCTGACGAAAAAAGTGTCTCGTCGAGTTCGGTAATACTTTTTGCTCAAGAACCGCTTGCATTATTTTGGCTTTCCTGCATGCAAGCTTCCAGGCGCGAGCCTCATGACATCGGGAGTGGGCTACATGGCTCCCCGATTCCGCCTACGTCAAGTCGGCGCAACGACTTAGCAGCCCGAATCCGCATCTTGGAGCAGTGGCGCTTTGGATTCACCTGGAATGTCGACGACGAGTACAACCGCCTCCAGAGGGACTGCCACCAACTGCACTTGGACCACAGTGCTCCGCTAGGCTGTTCTCGTTCGGGCACAGCTGGGCCTTGGCAGTTTTCGGCACGCTCGACGCGTCCTCGGTCGTGCCAGTGTTGCACGGCATTCGCACGGGCCAGCGTCAGCTTCTGAGCAATTCGGCCCCCGCTGGCAGTTTGCGCATCACCTGGACGCCAGGGCGCCCGTTTCCCACCCATGCGGCCCAGAGCGGGGCGACCCGCTGTCTGCCACGCCCTGGACGGCAGAGTCCAGTGGCGGGCTAGGTGCTGATGGCGGGCTGGATGTTGGATTCGGCGGGTGGCGTGGCAAGGTTATTCTTGTACTGCAGCGTGCTGCCTGCGAGTTTATGCATAGATAACGATCCCTACAACCAGTCCTGGAAGCGCTGCCGCGGCGCCCCACTGACGCATCGTTTATCCCGCCCCCTTCGCCTCTGGACTGCAAGGGCTCGCGCGCGACAGCTGCGTTGGCCATCCAGAGACGCATCCGCAATTTCTTGCGGCAGCGCGCGGTGGCGCGGCCCCCTGGTGGTGGTCCAGCCGAAGGCGCCCAGGCAGCAGCCTGTTGGCGGCCCCCGCAGTTGGCAATCGCTCGCGCGCAGCCGTGCCGCCATGCCTGGCTGGCCTCCGGGGCGTGCCGATTTTGGCATCCACATCAGGCCCAGCCGAGACTGATGGCACCGCGGTTGCTCTTTCACCAAGTCCTGGCTGCAGGCGCGACGAATGTGGTCTATGGCGCGCTGTGCCGGCAAGGGGCCCAGAAAGCCAAGCCGCGCACCGTTGAGATGAGCGATCCGTAGCTTGTGTCCTCCCGCAGAGGGGAATTCTGAGACAGCGTCTCCATGTGTGAGAGTTCAGAGGCTCGTCCAAACATTTCGGCCAGATGGTGGGCTGCTCGATGTCCCGCGGCCGGTCTGCTCCAGGCTATCGGTGCTAACGCTCCGTCGTCGTGGGGATCTGATGCGCGACCGCTGGGCGAGGCTCGACGTCGGTGCTTCAGTGCATGCCAGAGCGAGTTGAACGAGTTCCACATCGAGCTCCATCTGATCCTAGATCCCAACAGTGCACGCGCGGTCGTGCATCTGCCGCGGTTTTTTTGGTCGTCGAAGTGCGAGTGGAGTGGGTTCCGGATTGTTTCCAGGCAGAGATGCGCGCGGAGCCCGCCGAGCGGCTCGCGCGCCTAACCGAGGCGCAAGTTCTGCAATTTCCAAGCTGCTCGGAGGCCACTACCGTGGAGAAACGCCGGGTGGGCGCAGCTCATCTCGACGGCCACGGTCACGCGAGTGCGCGGGCGGATCTGCGGGAGTTCCGTCAGCGGGTCGGCGCGTCGCTGCGTCGCGGCCGCGGCGCGGCTCTCCGGGGCGCTCTGACGGCAGCGGCAGCGAGCGAGTTAAACGATATTCTTCGGTTCTACCAGCCGCCGCCCCCAGACGTCCGAGAAAAGCGAGTCGCGGCATCCGACCCTCTCGCTGCTCAGCGAAGACTGTGCGGCGAAGCTGGAGCTGGCCGTCGCCAGCTACATCGCCGCGGGCGCCGCCCGCCATTGTCAGCTGCGCCGCCGTGCGCGCCGCGGCGCGGAGCGCGGCGAGGAGAGTGCTCGTCTTCGGGCGTTCGCTCTCCAGAGGGCAAGAACGCGCCGCCGCTGGCCCGGGGGGGGGCGCAGGCGCTCGGCGGCGCCTCCAGCGCGGGGGCGGCGGCGCTGCCTCTGACGCAGCCGCGGCGGCCTTCAGGCGCGACGCGTCACCGGAGGCCGACCCAGCGGCGGCCGCGCCCCCCTTGTTCGAGCGCCTGCAGCGCCAGACGTCCGCCCGCCCGGCGGCGGCTCGATGGTTTCTGGCCGCGCGCTCGCGCCCTGGTCTTCGACGTCAACATTGCTTCGGCCGGCCGAGGCGCCGCGAGCGGCGTGCCCGTGCTCCCGCTGCGCCCCCGTCGCCAGGCTCTGCGGGCGCCGCGGCCGCTCCTCCGAGGAGGGCCAGCAGCGGGCGCTTGGGGCGTCGGCAGTTGCCGCGCGCCAGGGCAGGCGAGGAGGGGCGGCCGCGGCGGCGCGGGGGCGGGGCGGCGCGGCAGCGGCGGCGCGGCGGCGGGGAGGGGCGGCGGCGGCAGCGCGGCGGGCGGCGGCCGCGCGAGGAGGGGCGGCAGTGGCGGAGCGGGAAGGGGCGGCGGCGGCGCAGCGGGAGGGGTGGGCAGCGGCAGCGCGGCGGGGAGAGTGGGGAGGGACAGCGAAGGCAACCGCGGCAGCAGTGGCGGCGGTGGAAAGGGAGGGCCAGGAGGGGCGGGGATGGGCGGCAGCGGTGACGCGGCAGTGGCTGCATGGCGGGGGCGCGAGGAGGCGCGGCCGCGGTGGCTGGCCCTGGCGCGGGTGGCGGCGGGCTCCGGGGCTGCTCATGAAGGCGCGGGCGGTCTGCTACTGCGCCCCGGTCAGCCTGCGCGGGAAGGGCGGGCGCGGGCAGTGGCAGCTTGTCCTGGCGCCGCGCAGCGAGACGTTGGGCGCGTGGCTGGGGCCCGCCCCCGTCTGCCTACGGCGCCTTCGCTGGCGCGTGCGAGGAGGGCGGGCAGGCGCGGTGGCAGCGGGCCCTGGCGCTGCTCAACGAGGGAATGACATTGGCTTATTATGATTTGCAGCACCCCGATTAGCGCGTGCGCGGAGGACGGGCAGGGGGGCGGCAGCCAGCCCCGGCGCTGATCAGCGATGCTTGGATTGAAGCTGGAGCCCGCCATAATCTGATGCAGCTGCTTGATCAGCGCGCGCGCGAGGCGCGGCAGCCCGGCCCGGCGCTGCTCCGACATGTGCGGGGGGCGAAGCTGGAGCCCACCTTCATCGGCATTGCAAGTTTGGTTGTTGCGCGCGCGATAGGAGCGAACAGGTTGCAAGCTGCCCCAGAGCGCCCGAAGCGCCCAGGCGCTCTCCGATCCAGAGCTCGCGACGACAGCCTATAATTGTAATTGCACCCCCAGTTTTTTGGTTTTAGGGTTATTTGTTGCTTCAACAGAAAATCGAATATACCCTCCAGGCGCGGTTTGGATGGCGCCGCCCTGCGGTTCCTCGGGCATCTTGGACGCGGGCGACTTGGGTTCAGAATCTCCGGCGCGTCACTGGGGGTGGCTGGTTTTTGGAAGGTTATTGGCAGTTTTTTTTTGGAAGGTGTTTGGAAGGTTGCTGGAGGATGTTTGGAAGGCTTTTGGAATGCATGGGGCAGTTACGCTTAATTCAGGAAGGTTTTAGGAATATGTTCGTACGTTTTTTTTTTTTTTTTTTTTTTTTTTTTTTTTTTTTTTTTTTTTTTTTTTTTTTTTTTTTTTTTTTTTTTTTTTTTTTTTTTTTTTTTTTAAAAAAAAAAAAAAAATATATATATATATATATATAGTGTCTTGTTTAAAGGCTTTTGGGCGTTGTTTTTGTTGGAAGGTTTTTGGAATGTTTGTTTTTGGAAGATGTTTGGAAGGTTTTTGCAAGGTTTTTGGAAGGGTTTTGTTGGAAGGTTTGTTGGGACAAACCTTCCTGAAGCCTCCCCTCGCTCCCCCCTCCCCCCTTGGGAAACCTTCCAAAAACCTTCCTAAAACCTTCCTCAGGAAGGTTTCAGGAGGGGTTGCACCGGTCTTCTTCGAGTGCACCCATCCTTTTTCAATTGAAGTGCCCCTCCTGGGGCTCGCACCTTCTTTATCGGGGGAAGTCTTGCGCATCGGACTGCGCCCCCGGCCCCCGGTTTCTGATAATTCCTTCCAATGTATTCCACATCGCGCTCTCGCGCTGGATCTCCTTCTGATTCATGCAGGAGTCGCGCTCTCGCGTGGGAGTCCCTCGCACTTGTTGACGAGTCGCGCATCCTCGCCAGAGCTGACGTTTCAGCGACCCGCTCGTTTGACCCTACTATCTGGGCCCGCCCGCGCGGCTTAGGGTCCTCGCCCGACCCGCCAGTCTGGTTCAGTCGGTTGTTTTTCTGCTCTCAGTCCCCCTCCTGCTAATATCTGTCGTGCTCCATCCTTCTCTTTCCCCGTTTTCCCTGCCCTCCTCCGTTCCTGTCTGCTGGGGGCTTTGCCATTTCACGTAGCAGGTAAGGAAGATGCACCCCCAAGGGATGTATGACTGATGACGAAGAGGGCGGGTATCGAAGGCTTGGGATAGACATGTTGAGGACACGCGATCAGATAAGAACGAACAGTCTTGAACTTAGTGTTGCGATTGTTGCTGATGTTGCTGTTAGTGTTGTTGTCAGGCGTGCCGATTTTGGACCAACTTGTTGGATTTCGCCGTGCTTCGTTCGTGTAGCATTTTGGCTTCCATATGCTTCGCGTGAGGGCCACATCTTGGCTGGATTTTTCTTTGATTGCTGCTACCACGTCGTTGGCACGGCTGGGCGTTCGCGTGCTACGTTTTCCTGCGCGTATCTAATTTCCTCGCGTCGGGCAACTGGCAACCTACAAAATGTAGCCGTTTGCCTGCTGGCACCCCTTTTGGCCATGGCAAGCCTCCTCGTCGTCTTCGCCGTTCTGTTCCCTTCAACCTCCAGGTGCTCCCTCTTCGCGCTGGCGCCGTGCCGCTATCTCTCCTCCTCCATGCGGCGAGGCCGCGCTGTGTCCTTCCCGCTGGTTCCCCTTGCTCTCGGGCCTGCCGCGCTCTGCCCCCCCCCCCCCGCCCCCCCTCCACCCGCCTTGAAGGTACGAGGCAGCCGCGGACACCGTGCGCAGGGCGCAGGAGCTCTACGACGTCGATAGCGAGGAGCTGATCCGCCTGGCGCGCGAGCTCGCGCTGACGCTCAAGACCGTGGAGGCGCCCTCTGCCGGCGGCGGGAGTGGAGGGGAGCAGGTCCTCCTCGTTTCTGCTGGTTGTCTCTCTTTCTATCTCTGTGCCTCTCTCACACTCTCCCTCACTCTCTCTCTTTCTCTCTCTTTCTCTCTCTTTCTTTCTCTCTCTCTCTCTCTCTTCTCTCTGTCCCTCTCTCTCTCGTTCTCTCGCTCTTTCTCCCTCCCTCTCCCTCTCTCTCTATCTCTCTGCGCGACCGTTGGTGCATACCGCGACGGGTTCCTGTGTAGTCTGTGTGTCTGTGTGTCTGTGTCTGTGTCAGTGCCTGTCTGTCTCTCTTCATCTCTCTCTCTCTTTCTCTTTGTCTTTCTCTCATTCTTTCTCCTGGAGATCAGCAGCATCCATATCTGCGCACTTTGAATACAACTCCCTCTCTTCCGTCATGCTGTGTTGTGAGGGGGTGTGCCCATCCCATATTCTTTCTTTGCCCACACGGTTCCAATCGTTGTTGTTTCCCCATGGAGTGTTGCTATATCGGGTTGTGTTCGGTCCGATGCGTTCTTAGATCGGCGCTTTGCTTCCGTCGTTCGGGTTGGCCCTCTCGCCCCAGCGTTGGCTGTATGTGGATCCGATTCGTTCCTCGTCGATGCCGCACCCCCCTCCTGAAGTTCCTTCGCCTTCACCTGTTCCTCCTGCTCATCTTACTCTTCGCTGCTTATGCTCCCCTCCTCCTCCTCCTCCTCCTTCCTCACCCTACTCGTCCTCCTGCTCATTCTCTTGCTCATCAGCCACCTCCTCGTCCAATGTGCACTGTTCCCCCGTCTGCTTGCGCATCACATTGTGAGGGGTGGAGGGTCAAGGTCATTTAGGGCGCCCCAAAGTGCGGCATAGAACATAATGCAGCGCAATCAGAGGGAGATGGGCGGTATGGATGTGGCGCGAGCGCGCCTAGGTTGTTTTCTTCCTCCACTCTTTCACCTCCCAGACAATCACATCCTCTAGTCGGCGGCGCGCCTGGGGAATAAATGAGAGGGGACAGGCTCTCACAGAAGACGGCGGGGCTTCGCAGCAGCCCTTCGGCTTTCTGAGAAGCCGTCTGTGTCGTTGGAGAAGGCCCGGAGCATCTCTCAGGAGGCCCGAGGCCTTCCGAGCCTTCGGATGAGGCCCGCACCCTCTGGCTTCCGCTCTGGGCCCGCCGCCGATCTAGGATCGAGACAGAGACAGAGACAGAGAGACAGAGACAGAGACAGAGACAAAGACAGAGACAGAGACAGAGAGACAGAGACAGAGACAGAGACAGAGAAAAACAACAACAGAGACATAGACAGAGAGACAGAGAGAGAGGCTCGGGGGAGGGGGAGCTTGGGGCATGGGCGTGCCCAGGGGGCCCAGATCTCCAAGCTTGATGTTTCAGCGTCGAGTCTGGAAGGTGGATGCCCTCCATCCCAGAGGTTTTGGGGACGCTGGGCGGGTGGGGCGGGGAGGGCTGGCGAAGGGGGAGGGGAGCAGCGGGCACGGGCAGAAGGAGGGGGGGGAGGAACTGGGGAGAGGGGGCGGGGAAGAGGCACGTGCGGGGGTGAGAGGGGATGGACTGGAGAAGGGGGATGGGGCAGAGGACGGGAGCGCAGGGAATGAGGGAGGGGAGGGATGGGAGGGGAGGGAGGGAGGGAGGGATGCTAGGGAGATGAATGGAGGGAGGGGACTGGACAGGAGGAGGGGGGAGGTGGTGGGAGCGGAGGGAGGGTGGGAGGGAACGAGGGGGGGAGGGGGGGCGGGGAGGGGAAGGGAGGGAACATAGAGGGTCTCGAACTTGATATCGGGCTCCGAGGTTTGACATCGTCCTCTCCATCCTCCTACTTCCTCTTCCCCTCCTCGCCCTCCTCCCTTTCCTTCACCTGCAAGTCCTAATCCTTCTCCTCGCCCGCCCTCTTTTTCCCCCTCCTTCTCCTCCCATTCTCCCTCTCTCTATCTCCCTACGCGTCTGCCCACCTGGTGCACATGTGGTTCTTCGTCTGGATTTGCATGGCAAACGCGCTCGACGAATGAAGCAAAACACACACTAGCCTTCACCATAATCCAGAGTGGTGACGTATTGGCGAGGAGGTGGTGACGACGTGGCGGTGGATGTGGACAACCATGGTGATGGACAGCGAAGGACGAGAAGAAGAAACACTGGTCCGATGACAAGGAGGATCGCGGCGACGAGGATGAGCAAGGGCACGACGGCAAGGACAAGGATGTGAGCGAGGTGGAGGGGGGCGGAAGGATATGGAGGAGATGCAAGAGGATCGCGAGCAAGAGGCAGGTGGGGCGGAGGATGAGAACAGCGAGAGAGGATGAGGGGGGAGGGAGCAGAGAGACCACGGCAGGTTCGTGCCGTGTCGGCGCGGCGGGGGCCCGTGCGCGGGCCTTCGGGGTGGAGCGCCGCCACAGGCCCAGAATTCGCCGATGTCGAGAGATCTGAGCTGAGGCGCGATGGTCGGAGTCTGAACGAGCCACGCACTTTCCGATGCCAGCGCCGAGGTCGCCGGGACGCGAGAGTCTGCCGCAGGGAGGCCAGGGAGAGGCGGTGCGCTGGGCGGCCGAAGGATCTCGTGGAGGAGGCGGAGCGGTGTCTCGAGCACGGGAACTACGCGCGGCTTCGCGAGCTCTCCACGGAGGCCACCCTGAAGGACGCCGGGGCCCGTCAGGAAAACGAGGGGGGTTGCCAGGAGATTGCGTAACCCGTGGGCGATCGTTTTTCCCGGAAAGGGCGTGGGCCCAGGGCTCTCTTTTAGTTGGTTTACCCTCGGTTTCGACTTGAAGGGGGCCGGCGAAATTATTTTGCGTACATAGCGATGTAAAGTGCTGATTTTCAGTCGAAAAAGTGCGTTTCGTGCGTGCCCGCTCGAGGAAAGTGCGCCCCCCATCTCGGATCCTCGATAAAAAACTGGGTCCGCAGACCCCCGTTTTCCCTCGTAAAAAAGAGGGTGCGGAGCGTTTTTCGCAGAATCCTCGACAAATAACGGGGTCTGGAGCCCCGACCGCGACGCGGAAAAGCGCCCCGCGCGCAGGAATTCCGAGGATGTCTCGCTATGCACGACGGTCGTCCAGGCACAGCAGGCGTGGAACATTCTCGACACCACAGGGGGTGCGCAGGGGGTGGCCTCTCACCGCGGCCGCTATGCACGACGGTCGTCCAGGCACAGCAGGCGTGGCACTTTCTCGACACCACATGGTGGTCTCTCACCGCGGCCGCTATGCACGACGGTCGTCCAGGCACAGCAGGCGTGGCACTTTCTCGAAACCACAGGGGGTGCGCAGGGGGTGGTCTCTCACCGCGGCCGCTATGCACGACGGTCGTTCAGGCACAGCAGGCGTGGCACTTTCTCGACGCCACTGGGGGTGCGCAGGGGGTGGTCTCTCACCGCGGCCGCTATGCACGACGGTCGTCCAGGCACAGCAGGCGTGGCACTTTCGGGGGTGCGCAGGGGGTGGTCTCTCACCGCGGCCGCTATGCACGACGGTCGTTCAGGCACAGCAGGCGTGGCACTTTCTCGAAACCACATGGGGGTGCGCAGGGGGTGGTCTCTCACCGCGGCCGCTATGCACGACGGTCGTTCAGGCACAGCAGGCGTGGCATTTTCTCGACGCCACTGGGGGTGCGCAGGGGGTGGTCTCTCACCGCGGCCGCTATGCACGACGGTCGTCCAGGCACAGCAGGCGTGGCACTTTCTCGAAACCACAGGGGGTGCGCAGGGGGTGGTCTCTCACCGCGGCCGCTATGCACGACGGTCGTCCAGACACAGCAGTACGACGACGACGCTGAGTACACTCAGTGCGACGACGCTGGTTCGACTGGTTGGTCTGGTTGGCGTGGTCTGGTTGGTCTGGTCTGGTCTGGTTGGTTTGGTCTTGTTGGTCTGGTTGGTGTGGTTGGTTGGCCTGGCTGGCTCGTGTGGCTGCTCTGCTTGATTGGCCTGGCTGGCTGGTCTGATTACTTTGGCTGGTTATGGCTGGAACGACTGATCCGACTGGTCTGGTCAATCTGGCTGGTCTGGCTGATCTGGCTGGTCTGGTCAGTCTGGCTCGTCAGGATGGTGAAGCGGGATGTGATATGGTCTGTGAACACACGTGACATAACATAAGTATGTGGGGTTCCTCGGTAGCGTAATTTTCACGTCCCGCTCGCAGGAATTCCGGGGATGTCTCGCGCGTGCCACGTCCCGCGCGCAGGAATTTTTGTCCCGTATGGCACGTCCTGTCATGGCCGTCCCTTGGCACGTCGCCTGGCGCGTCCCTTGGGACGTTTCGCGTCCTCCTGGCATGTCCCCCTGTCAATTAGCTCTGGGGCAGCTACTATGTGTTCAGGCAGCTCGAGCTTCAGATCCAGATCAGTTCGGTCAGGACTCGGATGCAAAGGAAGACTCGATCCACGACGCTATAGAGCACAACCGCGGCATGGCACATCGCAATTCAGCACGGCGCAGCACAGCACAGCCCTCGGCACGGTGCATCAAGATCGATACAATCAGCATTGCACTTGCCCGTCACCCAATCAGGTGTCTTTGAAAACGTTGCCATGCGTTACATTTCTATATTCCTTTCCGGGTTCGTGGGTCGATCATGTTACCTCGGGCTTTTTGGGTGCATGCAAGGAGAGAGGACAGACGACGGAGGAGAGTGGACAGAGGAGGCAGGAAAGAGAGAGGAGAGAGCAATGGGAGAGCATACAGGCGATGATAATGACGATGGTAATGGTAATGATGATGCTGCTGATGATGCTGCTGACGGATGATGATGGTGATGATGATGATGCTGCTGCTGCTGATGATGATGATGATGATGATGATGATGATGATGATGATGATGATGATGATGATGATGATGATGATGATGATGATGATGATGATGATGATGATGATGATGATGATGATGATGATGATGATGATGATGATGATGATGATGATGATGATGATGATGATGATGATGATGATGATGATGATGATTATGATGATGATGATGAGGAGGAGGAGGTAGAGAACTCAGTAGGACGTCGGATCGATGAGACATCTTCCGTTTGTCTCCTCGTCTTCCCGTTCCTCTACCATTTTCTGCTCCAACGGCGAGGGAGGGCAAAGGCCAGGGAGCTCGACCGAAGGCTTGTGGTGGTGGCGGTGGTGGTGGTGGTGGTGGTGGTGGTGGTGGTGTGTGTGTTTGTGTGCGCGCGTGTGTTTGTGTGCGCGCGTGTGTGTGCGTGTGTGTGTGTGTGTGTGTGTGTGTGTGTGCGTGTGTGTGTGTGTGTTGGATTCCATGGAGAGGCAGCCAGCCACTCCGAAGAGCGACTGGGCCCCGCCACGAGCCCTCGCGCGGCCGAGCGGCACCACGGGGGCGCCGAGCTAGCAGGCAAGCCTGAGGACAGGTGGCGGCCCAAGCGAGGCTGTCCGAAGCGCCCCTCGGGAAGGGGGAGGGGGCGGGGCGAGGGTTGCAGGCGAAACCCCTCGAGAAAGGGGAGGGGGCCGGGCGAGGGTTGAGGCTGTCCGAAAAGCCCCTTGAGAAGGGGGAGGGGGCGGGGCGAGGGTTGCTGCAGAGCAATCCCCTTCGGGTGCGCTCGCCCCGAGCCGCCCGCCCCCTCCCGGGCGCCTGCGCGGGGCCACCCCGGGCGCCTCTGCTGGGTGCTCATCCGTGGCGTCGGCCCCCGGTGGCATCGACCACTTCCCCGGGGCTGGGCTTTCTCGGGGGCGGAAAAGAGGGGGGTGATGACTAGGGGGGGGGTGGATATCATGGCGTGGGCCATGATGTTTCCCCAGATTTCATGGCGCCTCCTCTTATTTCGTTACGTCCCAGGCCCCCCCGCTGGGCCGCGCACGTGCCGCCGGTCATGATTTGCCCCCCCCCCCCCTGTTGGACACCCCCCTCTTGGCCGCTCCCGATTTTCATCCCGAGGCGTTCTCTGGCGGCCCCGGGGCGGCGGAGCGGCCTCCAGAGGAGAGGCCGGCCGTGGCGGCTCTTGCTGCGTCGCCCAGGGGCGGCTGCGGTTTGCGATCGGGTCGACGGTCCCCCGTCGGGGCGTGGAGAACTCTTTCGACGTCCTCGCCGACCCTCCACTGCACGAGTTGCAAACCGCGCCCTTGGCACCCCAGAAGCCGCACCCGTCGGAGTCGCCGAGCAGAGGACCCGCGCTGCGCCCGAGCCTGGGAGCTGATCGCGCTGGCCCTGAAGGCGGAGGGCAGGCGCTGGGAGGCCGTCGCCACCGTCCGCGAGGCCTGCGGCAGGGGGGGCTCGTCCTCGTCGTCGTCGTCCTCCTCCTCCTCCTCCTTTTCCCGGAAAGGGCTTAGGCCCAGGGTTCTTTTTTAGTGGGTTTCCCCCCCGGGTCTGACGGGAAGAGGGCCGGCGGATGACGGGAAGCGTCTTCGAGGAACGAGAAGCGAGCTGGAACTTTTGGCTGAATCTTCCTCATATCAGTAAGAGATATCTTAACTATAGGGGGTGGCGGGGTGCACGGGGAAGAGGCTTAGCGGATGACGGGAAGCGCGCTTAGACTCTTTAGAGTCGCGCGATGGACGTTGTATACCGGCCCAGAGGGGAACGCATTTATCAAGTGGGGGGGTCCAGGGGGGGAGTGGTGGCGGGATCGCCCTCTGGTTTTCACCTGGCGGATTTCAAAAACGAGCGTTTCGCTCGAGACATCCTCCCACAATCGTGAAGTTGGGGGTCGTATCTTAAGACGTCTGTTGCTAAACATGGGCGTTTCGCTCGGAACATCCTCCAAACATCGGGATCTCGAAATCGCTCGCCTAATTTTCGGATCCTCGAAAATGGGCGTCTCGCCCAAGACATCCTCGAAAAGATGGGATGCCGACAGAGCTCTTGTAAGGCATCTTTTCGGAGCGATTTCGGATGACCCCCAAGATGGCCCAAGAAGCGAAAATATTGAAAAACCCATGTGTTTTACACACTTTCGTTGAAAAATCAGCGTTTCGCTCGAGACATCCTCCCAACAATTCCTCTTCCTCCTCCTCCTCCTTTTCCTCCTCCTCCTTTTCCTCCTTCTCCTTCTCCTCCTCCTCCTCCTCCTCCTCCTCCTCCTCCTCCTTCTGTTCTTCTTCCTCCTCCTCCTCCTCCTCGTCCTCTTCCTCATCTTCCTCCTCCGCCTCCTCGCCTTCTTTCTACTTCTCTTTCCTCCTCCTCCTCCTCCTCCTCCTCCTCGTCGGTCTTCTCCTCTTCCTCTTCCTCCTCTTTCTCCTCCAACTCCTTCTCCTCCTCCTGTTCCTCCTCCTTTTCCTCCTCCTCCTGCTCCTGTTCCTCCTCTTCCTCGTCCTCCTCCCCCTCCTCCTCCTCATCTCTTCTTCTGCTGCTGCTGCTGATGCTGCTCCTTCTCCTCCTCCTTCCTTCCTCCTCCCCTCCTCCTCCTCCTCCCCTCCTCCATCCCCCTCCTCCTCCTCCCCTCCTCCTCCCCCTCCTCCTCATCCTCCTCCTCCTCCTCCTCTCCCTTCTTCCCTGGTCGTCGTCTTCGCCGTCGTCTTCCTCATGCGGAGGAGTGTTGAGGATACTCAGGAATATGCTTGTGAACGTTCGGGGGGCGCGTGTCCATACGTATCCCTTGTGAGCGTTCGGAGAGCTTGCCTATACTACATTTGATCGCGATGGTGCTGCAAGTTCTTGCGTAAGTCTTCCCTTTCACGCGCTTCCCGTTCATGTCAGGAAAGGTTCCTCGGGATGGCGATTTCGCGTGAGACATCCTCACAACAATGAGATCTTCGCGACATCGCGTTTAACAGAAACATGCGTTTCGCTGGAGACATCCTCGAAAAGTTGATGACAGCGAAATTTCGCCGTCTGTGGAAATTTGCGTTTCGCTTGGGACATCCTCGAAACAATGAGGTGACGACTGAAGTCGTTAACTAACTCTTATGTTAAGAATTGCGATTTCGCTAGGGACATCCTCAGAAAACGAGCGGCAGCACGGCGGACCAGAACGAAGAGCACGGCAGAACATTTGCATTTCGCTAGGGACATCCTCCACAAAATGAGATGTCCTCAACGTCGTCTTGATATCGTTCTCGAAGTACCTCAAGATGACGAAATGAGATGCCAAAAAGCACGTCAAGATGGCTGTCAGAACGATTGGGGGACTTCCGAAAATAGCGATTAAGCTAGGG